GGGGGCCTGAGGCGGGAGGAGGCTGGAGGGAGGCCGGAGGGGGCCTGAGGCGGGAGGAGGCTGCCCGCAGGGGACAGCGCGTGAGGCGGGGTCGCGCCTTTCCTGAGAAGAAGTACTCATTGTGAGGACTCTGGGAGCTATAGGGGTTTTGAATAGAAGCAGGACTTAATGTGAGTGGGGACTAAAACAGTAGCCACATTTTTCCGCAGAGCAAAACAGATTAGGCTGGGCGTGGACTGTGAATGTGGGTTCTTGGAGACCGGTAAGTCGGCTAGTGCGGCGGACTGCCGAGGGTGTTGATGCTGGGTGAACCAGAGTGGTGCCGGAAGAGAGGGAAGTGGTCAGATTCTGGGTGGATAGAACCAGCGTAGTTACTGCTGCATCAGATGTGGGTGTGATTGAAAGTAAGGAGTGAAAAACCACGTCTTTAATTTTTGCTGTTCTCTTGTTTTTCATGGACGTCTTGAAAGTGGAAATCGTGAAGTCAGTGTAGGGAGGTTTCGGAGGGATCCTAAGTTGAATTTTGGACATGGTTGATTCTGAGATGTCTGGGCTTAGAGGTGTCATATGGGATCTGGGATGGAAGGTGTAGGGTCCTGGGAGAACCGGCTGGGTTGGAGATATCCACAGGGTGAGAATAGTGGTCTGGACAAGGTCAGGGCCTGGAGATGAGATTTAGGGGTAGCAGTCTTAGGTATGTTGTTTTATTTTATTTATTTTTATTTTGAAAGATTTTTAAGTAATCTCTACACCCAACATAGGGCTGGAGCTTACAACCCCAAGATTAAGAGTCGTGTCCGCCACTGACGGAGCCAGCTAGGTGCCCCTTAAGTATGTTATTTTATTTTATTTTTTTATTTTTATTTTTAAAGATTTTATTTATTGATTTGAGAGAGAGAGAATGAGAGATAGCACGAGAGGGAAGAGGGTCAGAGGGAGAAGCAGACTCCCCGCTGAGCGGGGAGCCCGATGCGGGACTCGATCCCAGGACTCCAGGATCATGACCTGAGCCGAAGGCAGTTGCTTAACCAGCTGAGCCACCCAGGCGCCCTAAGTATGTTATTTTAAATGGTCCCTGGTGTGAAAGGGGAGGACTGTCGCTGGAGGGCAAGACGGAGTAGGGGAAAAAGCGTGGGCATTCCTGACACTCTGCACCAGAAGGAAGGAGCCCTGTCATTTGAAAGGGTTCTGGCCAGTGTCTGCATGAAGAGAAGGCTGTAGGGCATGAGGATCCTGGCATGGCATGGTGACCCACCAAGGTTGGGGTTCTGTAGAATGGCTACAGTCTGATGACCTCACCCTCACTTTTGAACAGCCTGTCCTAAAAGAAACACACATTGAAAAGCGCCTCCAGTGCTTGGAGTGATTTCACGTCACTCAGTCTTGCCAGAGACTTAAAATACCTCAATACCATATGATAGATTGTCTCAGCCTCTTTATGTCTTTGACTAAAGTTTTCCATGGACAGACTCACTGGGGTCATCTTGCCTCACAGGAAGTTCCTACCAAAGCATTCCCCTAATACAAGTTGTTCCAACACAAGAGATGTTTCTGCTCACATGCCCTAGATGTGATTTTTATGAGTATAGTGGAGGCAGAACTCCACCTGTAACCATCTTAGCTTGGACTCTTTTTTTTTTAAGATTTTATTTATTTGACAGAGACACAGCAAGAGAGGGAACACAAGCAGGGGGAGTGTGAGAGGGAGAAGCAGGCTTCCCGCTGAGCAGGGAGCCGGATGCGGGGCTCGATGCCAGGACCTTGGTATCATGACCTGAGCCGAAAGCAGCCGCTTAACCAACTGAGCCACCCAGCCGCCCCTCTTTTTTTTCTTTTTTAATTGAAGTATATTGACACACAAAATTACATTAGTTTCAGTGTACAAGACAGGTTTATACATTATTGGCTGGGACTCAAGAAATAGATTAACAAGCGAAAAATAGTTTATTGATGTGTGCAGCACAGGTGGGAGAAACCTAAATCAAAAGTAACTCAAAATGGTGGTTCAGGGTTCCAGTTGATATAGCGTTTCAACAAAGAACAATAAATTCGCAGAGAAATGACAGGAGTGTTAGACTTCCAAGGGCAGCAGACTGTGGGAAGGTAAACACATTGGAGGAAACTAATGTATGATTTGTTTGCAGATTCCTTTGGTGCCAGACTCTGGGCTGGTAAGGATCTAGATCCAGTAAATGGAGAATTTATATCCTGCTTTTGGGCAGAAAAGGGAGATTTTTCTCTGCTGTTTCTTAATTGCCTTCAGCTCAAAATAATTTTTGATAATATAATTTGATAATTATTTTGAAAATAATATATTCTGGGGCGCCTGGGTGGTTCAGTCATTAAGCGTCTGCCTTCGGCTCAGGTCATGATCCCAGGGTCCTGGGATCGAGCCCCACATCGGGCTCCCTGCTCCGCGGGAAGCCTGCTTCTCCCTCTCCCACTCCCCCAGCTTGTGTTCTCTCTCTGGCTGTCTCTCTCTGTCAAATAAATAAATAAAATAAAATAAAATAAAAAAGAAAATAATATATTCTGGTTTCCTTCTTGAACTGCAAAACAGCCAGGGAAAAAAGTTTGCATTATCTAAATTTCTAGATTATTCTCACTTTGTATCCTCTGTCTGATTTTATAAGAGAATTAAACATTAATGTCCTGAAGAATCCATTGTAGATAATGAATTGATTTTTCTTCCATGCATTTAGACTGGTCCTAGGCATGTACCTTCCATGGTTTTTGTTTTGTTTTGTTTTGAAGATTTATTTACTTATTTGTCAGAAAGAGAGAGAGCACACATAAGCAGGGGGAGCAGCAGGCAGAGAGAGAAGCATGCTCCCCACTGAGCAAGGAGGCCAATGTGGGACTCCATCCCAGGACCCTGGGATCATGACCTGAGCCCAGGGCAGACGCTTAACTGATTGAGCCACCCAGGCATCCCCTTCCATGAGGTTTTTAAGACAATATTCACTGAAATTATTTTATGTAGGAACCAGTTCTCTTATGGAACCCTATTTGTGAAGGTCTGTTTAAGATTATGACCACACCAGGGTTGCGTGGGTGCCTCAGTTGGTTAAGCATTTGCCTTGGGTTCAGGTCATGGGATCAAGCCCCACATGGACTCCCTGCTCAGCGGAGAGCCTGCTTCTCCCTTTTCCTCTGCTGCTCCCCTTGTTTGTGTGCATGCGCTCTCTCTCCCTCTCTCTGCCAAATAAATAAAATCTTAAAAAAAAAAAAAAAAGATTATGACCACACCAATTCCAGTGTGAAGGGGTGGGTTTAACCACACCAAGTTGCAATTCTCTGACCCACCTGGGTATCCTACAGTTCAATTCAAATCTGACACTATTTGGCAGGAAATACTGTGAGATCTCACAGGTTAAGGGTTTAGTCCTGTAAGACTGTCTGCCCTTCCCCTGTCAGACACCAGTCACACATCCATGCTATCACCTGTGTTTCTGACCCAACTGGCTATAAATTGGAGGTTCCAATGACCCCCCCCTTGGGTTTGATTAATATACTAGAGTGGCTCACAGAACTCAGGGAAACATTTTACTTAATAGATTAATGATTTATTATAAAAGGATATAATTCAGAAACAGCCATATGAAGAGATGCATAGGGCAAGGCGTGGGGAAGGGGCACAGAGCTTCCGTACCCTCTCCTGATACACTGCTCTCCCTGAATCTCCACTTGTTCACCAACCCAGAAGCTCTCTGAACCCTGTCCTTTTGGGGTTTTGTGGAGGCTTCATTATATGGGCATGATTGATTAAATCCTCAGCAATTAGTGATTGATTAAACTCAGTCTCCAACCATCAGCTCTCTCCAGAGGTCTGGGGGTAGGACTAAAAGTTCCAACCCTCCAATCATGTGGTTGGTTCTCCTGGCAACCAGCCCTCATCCTTAGATGCCTTCCCAAAGTCACTTCATTAAGAAATCTTTTCTCTCATCACTTAGGAAATACCAACGGTTTTAGGAGCTCTGTGCCAGAAACAGGGACAAAGATCAAATACATACTTCTTGTGAATCACAGTATCACATTGACCTAATAAATAACTATATCTATGTTCATAGAGAATTCAGAAAACTTAATCTGTATTGTGACTTTATTTTTGCCTTAGTGAATGTAAGTGTTTAAAAGTTCAGTGATATAAAACCAAGATGAATATCTTGTAAATTTTACATTCTTTTTTTGAATATTATATTCTTTTTTTTTTTTTTTAAAGATTCCACCTATTTATTTGACAGAGAGAGACAGCAAGAGCAGGAACACAAGCAGGGAGAGTGGGAGGGGGAGAAGCAGGCCTCCCGCTGAGCAGGGAGCCCACTGTGGGACTTGATCCCAGGACCCTGGGATCATGACCCGAGCCGAAGGCAGACGCTTAATGACTGAGCCACCCAGGCGCCCTATCATCTTAATATCACCTATATGCTTAATCTTGTTTGATTTATCCCTTTCTGAGAGAATAGGCAAGAGCAAGTAATTTATACATTTGGTACCCACAATTCTTTTCAGTTTTTTACTTTAAATATTTTATATATTTGAATTATAAAAAAAGATTGTCAGACTATTAAATGTATACGCAAACTTTATACAGTCTAATAAATGATCCTTCATTACAAAAATAGAGAAAAACTAAAAAGAAGAATGGAATGAAGTAAGACAAAAATACTAATAAGAGGGTTGGAGTGATAATATTAATATGAGAAATTGTCAGCTTCAGAAAGTAATATTACCAAAGATAACATAGGGACATTTAAAATATTAGATAAGTAATTTAATCAAGAAAATGTAAGAATGCT